TATATATATATATATATATATATATATAGTGCTTTGTTAAAATTCTTATCAACATGATTATAATTTTTATATATAAATTTATTTAATTCAGATTTTTCTAATAATAAGTTGACTTGAACAGCTGTACCCAGGCTCTTCATTTTATTTAAAAGACAAAGCACGTGTATTATTTTTCTAGAAGTCAACGCACGTGCCAATTGTGTAACTAGGAAGATTTATATGCATGCCACCCAACTTTCATGTATTTGCATATCTAACCCCTAAACTTTATTTCTTACATACATATCAAACCTATTCATTAAAAGATGTGCATTTTTTATGTGATATGGAAGATTTTGATGGCATAAATGTAAAATTGTAACATTTATCATGGACTCCATAAAAGGAGGTTAAATTTATAAATATTTATGATTTAAATGTTATATATATGTAATTGCCACATTATGTATTTAAAAATAGAATTTACCCGAAGGGCCAAAGTGAAAACTTACTACTATTTTCATATTTCAAATAGCCATACACATGCGTACGTTAACTTCCACAAATATCATTATACTGTGCAAAAAATATTTGGCTGTCACAATCAGCCCAATAAATGTTATTTTATATTTCCTGGTGCAGACTATTTCAGTTGTGGTATTTTTCTTAAAGGAAGATTTACATACACGCCTCTCAACTCCTAGGTATTTACATAATAATATGAATTTTTTTAAAAATGGGCTCAAGTTTTTGGAAAAATATTACATTAGGACTCCTAACGTAGAGCTACGTTCGGATTGGAATATCCGGCTGTGTTAGGGGAATATTTTATCCATGTTATTTGTAAAAATGATGTGTTATTCGAGTATTATATGGTGTTATTCGATTATTTTGCGGTGTTATTGGAATATTCTATCGTGTTACTTGATTTGGGGCTGAAGTGTTATTGGAATATTTCCCCGCATTACTTGATTTGGGACTATGTTATTCTAATAACATGGTGAAAATTGAAATAACACGAGGAATATGCCGAATAACACAACCTCAAATCAAGTAACGCAGAGGAATATTTCAATAACACCACAAAATAAATTGAATAACAACGTATAATACTCGAATAACACATCATTTTTACAAATAACGCAGATGGAATATTTCCGTAACACAGCCGGATATTTCAATCCGAACGTAGCTCTACGTTAGGAGCCATGATGTAATATTCAAGTTTTAACCTGACAGCCTTCGATGATATAATTATAATATAATTTTGACATTTGGTCATATCGTTTTGCGAATTTGCTAAGTCTGAATAGGATTAAAAATTTAAGAAAATCATTAAACTTGCAAAATTAGAAATTAATACCATTGGTGTGTTTTTTTTTTTTTTTAATTATGAAAATTTCACACTTATTCTTCATTAAATAGGTATGACTAAAATTAGTTATAGATAAATCAGAAGTGATGTGCATAATTCCTCACATTTTGAGTATTTTCATTCAATTATTTTGAAATTTCACATCACGCTTGTTTTGTGTTTGGTCATCCATTCCTTCATTCATATAGAGGTTCACGTAGTAATTATAACAAACTTTCCTTGAATCATGCAAATAATTCCCTTAAAATAGTAAGCGAACACGAAGCATATATTAATGCTTTAAATAAATTTCTTTTTTTAATATATATATAACAGATTAAGCACTTGACGGTTTGTATGTAATTGCCCATATTTTAAATCATGCATATATGCTAACCATTTTCTATAAATATAATAGTAGGCTGTTTCAAATTTGGGCGTATGTTGATGACTATTTACAAAATTAATATGCAAGTTTTAATTTATTTTAGTATTTGGTAGATATTGTGTGGACCACAATTGTTGGCATGAATCACAAAGCGTTCAGACGGCCAATGACAATGACCGAACAATCAAAGTATTGGATTCAAGGAGCTTGATCCGAACCGGTCATCTGAAGACCAACAGCCCAATCGAGTCAATCGATTTTCAGTATTTATGGATCCAGTCAGCTCACTTTTTTACGGCTCCCACTGCCAAGACTTCCTAAAGGATAGACCAATCGAGACTAGCCGACTGATCTACTGTAGCAGAAGCGACCATCACACTGCCGGTCGCTTCAATCGACCGAGCCAAAGAACTTCAATTCGCCAATTGTCGTTGTACCATATTCCAATCATAATATAAATCTGATATTAATTAGCACATTACTTGTATTAAAAATGGTTTTCATAACCGTCCATTCTTTCCAAAATTATGTAAGTAGGCTCCTATAAATAGGGAACTTAACGGTGAATAAAAGGAATTCTTCCCCTAACTTCTCTCTATAGAATTATGTCTGCATTGCTCTCTCTCTCTCTCTCTCTCTCCTGTTCTCCTTGCTCAGCTCTAACTCTCGAGGCGTCTGTTCGTGAAAAACAATTTGGGATTCAACATCCTAAAATGTGGTGTGGTGAGCATGAACATGCAAAAGATGAGAAGTGGAGCAAATTACGACGAAGAATCCTCACAGAGAGACACGACAACCATGAAATTCAATAGGGAGACGACACATCGAGATACATGAGGATATCCGGGCATTGCGAGCGCAAAATAATGAACCAATCGAGGCTCTTCGAGCAACCATGATTCAATAGAACGTTCAACCGCCGCCCTTTGAGGGAGTCTTGGGGGACTCACCCCCAGACAACTCCCATTGACAATCCGCCAGCGTCCAACGGTCGGGTTGGCTGTCGATCAACTGAAGGGTCAGGGGATTCCCAACCGACAGACAGCGCGACATCTACACCGATAATTCAACATTGGGTTGACTGAGTGGTCGTGCTTGCCCGATAGCTGCAAGTAGCGCTTTCTCATGTAGAATGCTGGAAATCATACCTTCAGTGAAGCTGAGAATTTCTCACTTCGATCCTCATAAAGGGAAGTGTGACCCGAACGTCCATCTAATTTCTTTCAAGCCTTCGGTCAGAGTCCTGCATATCAATGGTGTCATGAAGTGCCGACTTTTTATGACCACACTGAAAGAGACTGCGCTCCGGCGGTTTAACAGCCTACCAGATGGAATCATCCCTCCTTCAAGTTTTGAAAGCTCTTCCTAGCACATTTTGCTAATGAGCATAAGCCAAGGAATGATATAGAAACTCTGCTCAAGATCAAACAGGGAGAGAATGAAAGTCTACGGGCATACATCACTAGCTCCCATAAAGAAATGCTGGAGGCAAAAAACCTAGAGCCCTTCATCACTCGGACCGTCCTGAAGCAGAGATTCCGCAACAAGCGATTTTGGTACGACCTGAACCAAATCAAACCAAAAACCTCTGTGGAGATCTTAGAATTGGCTAACGACCACATTGCAGTCGAGAAAGGCCTTATGAACACCTCAGAAACCAAACCAGAGTCGTTTGATCGTCAGTCGCATGAGCAAAAGAGCTGAGCCGACAGGAAGAGGCCTAAGGGCGATTGAGCTCCCGACGATCGGTCGACAATCCTCGCTCTTTTGATATCAGGGGAGGCAACCGTGGTGACAAGGGTCAAAGGTACCATCTTGGCCAGTGGACAACTTAGTACTATGTGCGACCGCACGTATACTAAGAAATGCAAGGTTCGACCCCCTTGAGCGTATTAATCGAAAAGCTAGTATAAGCCTTTCAAAATAAGGACAACTTCAAGAAAGCCCCTCCGATGAAAACTGCACCAACCCATCGAAATCCGAATAAATACTGTGCATATTACCGGGACCATCGACACACAGGAATGTCGTGTTCTCAAAAACTTGGCGGAGGGACTAATACACCTCAATATTACCCAATACTACCCCAATACTATAATAATACACCTCAATACTACCCCCAATACTACAATTTCAATGTCACAATACTATCGCATAACAAACCTTTGAAAACCCTCACCATAACACCCAAATAACACCAACACCACCATGGAATAAGCTCTCGTCGGTGATTTAATCGCCAATAACACCACAGTCCTCCCACAATGCTACCATGAATACACCCGCAATCCTACGTGTGCATGCCCTGCAATCCAGCCAGCACATCCTTGCAATCAAACCACACACCTCTACCTGCAGTCGCGCGCACGCCCTGCACGCAGCAACCAACACACCCCCGCCTAACTGATGAGTGTCAGAAGATTCACGGTGGTAGAATAATAAATTATCGTCTTAGCGTTGCATGAGAATTCAACACACACTCAGAAAAAAGAAAACAACTAGAAGTGATACCATACATTTTTACATGAAAAACCAGTAAGGGTCTGGCTCAGTTGAAGAGATCCGCTATAAAACTGAAGATTACAAACACGACCCCCTATCCCACAGTCGAGTAATTGTTATAAAGTCTCTCAAGTTAACACGTGGATGCGCGGATGAACATGTCACATGAAATGGGCGGCGATTGATGGTGATCGGCGGTGACCGATAAGTGGTTGTCGTTGTGGCAAAAGTGATGTTGAACTTCAACACTTTCTCAAAGCTTCAAGCTCTTCCTCAGGTCACAAATTCTCTCCCTCCCCCTCAAGAGAGGGGTGGGGTTTTATTTATAGAGTCTCGATTGCAAAAAATTCACCAACAAGGAGAACTTTCTGGTGGTGAAATCCCAATTGACTTACAATGCGAGCTTTGGCTGACCACCACTAAATAGCTACCAAGCAGTAACATCGACTTACCACTTGGCTGTGAAATTTCCCGAAGAAGGGAAGATAATGAAGGTATGAGGGAACTTAGAATAGCCGAGGAGTTTTTACCTTCGAGCGCTCACTAGTGTCGACCAAGATCCACTCGACATAAAGACATAACGAGAAGGTGGTCTTGAGACTAGTGAGACCAACCTCTAGATGCCCACAACAGATGAGAATGAACCTGGTAAGATTTTTTCAATATGAAAGCTTTGATGCAGGACACGGGGACCTACTGATCCGAACTCTCCACGCACACTGAGATGTCTTCAATTGGACGTCGCATATCATCGACTCAATATCAACTCGTTCACTCTACCGATAAAGCAGAAACTTCGATCAACCTCAAGAACTTTAGCTGAACTGATAGCAGCGAAGAGGTGTAGTATCCAACTTGGCTCTCAAATGTAGTAATGGTACGGAAGCCCAATGACAAATGAAGAATGTGTTTTGACTTCACTAATTTGAACGCAACTTGTTTGTATTTCACTACTTTAAAATTAAAATAATAATTTCTTTGATGAGATATGAAGGATTTGTGTGTGTGTGTGTGTGTGTATACACATACACATTAAAAAAAAGAAATTTAGAACCAGAACAAACATATATATCATTATTTCTTCCTTATCTGCATGAGATAAGTTACAAATGACTTGCAGGTTATTTCATGTGTAAGCTGCAAAAACAAAATTATGATGCAAGGAATTCTGAAATTGCAAAAAGTAACAAATATTTATAAATAGAAACAAGCTTATTTTAAACAATTCAACAAGTCAAAAAAATTGCTGATTGTCATAACCTTAGGTGATAACAGTTGGTGCAGATCGTCCTGTGAACTCTTCCATCTTAGAAAGTTTCAGAGCCACTTCCACCTACAAATGTGTAATGGTCAAAAAAAAAAAAAATTAACATGATATTTCATAGAATAAATAGAAAAAAACAGAAAAATAAAGAAGTTTGTCTCTCATACAAGAGGAGCAAGAGCTTCCTGTGAATCCCTTGCTGTATTTGAAGAATCCTTCTCGTACTGTTCAATGTAGAGCCTAATTGTGGCACCTTCTGAACCAGTTCCGGAGAGTCGGAAAACCTGAAATTTTGGAGTTGTTAATAGCATAAATCAGATGCTTTAGAAAGAAGAACTCAATCCAGAGTCAAATTTTCAAGGAAGATTTACATAAATACCACCACCCAAATTCTTATGTATTTACATATCTAACTCCTAAACTTCAAAGGTGTAAAGTTTAGGTGTTAGATATCAAAATACAAAGGAATTGGGCTGTATGCATGCAAATGCCCCATTTTTTAGACAGTTGGGGAACTGCCAACATAAGCCGAAAACAATCGAGTAGTGAGGCAAAGAAGAAACATACGAGCCGCGAGCCGTCTGTGAACAAGTAACGAATTCCCTGGTGCATTGAGACTGAGCCATCGACTGGATCTTTGTATTCGAACTCATCAGCATGTGCGGCATCAGAAACATCTGATCTTATTTCCTTTATAATCCTGAGAAAGCAAAATAAATATTTTCAGTAACATTTGCGAAGTATCCGGTGAAGAACAGCAGGGAGCAGAGGGCAACATTTGGGGTATCTTAGATGTTTTAAGAGTAAAGTGTCAAAATAGTCCCCTGACTAGTTACATAGGGTTATTTTAGCACCAGAGTCTACAGAAGTACTAAACTTGCCACCACACACTTTTCATATGAGCTGAAAAGTTGCCCAAGGTGGACTATTTTAGTCGTCCTTAAAAAAAATCTAGATATTAATTTGATGCTTCTATATAGTCTGGGATTAAAATGGATCTCTGAGAAGAGCAGGGGGCCATTTAGACACTTTAATCGGTGTTTAAAAAAAAAATTACAGAATGTGACGGACAGAAGCCGCAATCTAGAGTTTCAGAAAAAGGCACCAAAACGAAATCCGGGCGAGACATGGATGCCCATTAGCAATTGGGAAAACTGCAACATGCATTCATAATCAGAAAGAACTTTTAATCCCACCTTTAATGTTGAGGAATGATTTCTAAAATATCCTAAAACTAGACTCTGAATATTTTACAAAAATAACTAGAAAATATCTCATGCTGAAATCCTGAATGTCCTGTGAAGTCCAATCTCATGGCTATCTATTCTCCAAGTAATACTAAATAACTAAAAACAATTGCCGAATATCAAAATTTACATTAACTTGTCTAGAACTAACTTATTTACAGCACAGTCCGTTGTTTCCCATATCATATTAGCTCACTGTGGTTTCTCCGCATGCAACTCAGCTTCTATCGAAGTAATATTAGGTTATCTCCCAACAAACAACTATACCTCTTATAATATCAAGATATCGCTGGTTGGGTGGTTGGATATCTATTAATTCTCAAGGCATCACAACAAACATGCTACCACATTCTATAATACAAGTAACATAATACAACTATTAGATCATAAAAGGCAATATAAATAATAATTAATGAATTATAATGAGAGATCATAAAAGTCAATATAAATAATAATTAATGAATTATAATGAGTTTGACCCTCTCATGAGAGATTAACAGGCAGCAACCAAGATGCTTCTAGATGTTCAACTTAAAAAGGTCTCAAGTCAATGCACATTTAATTATATAATGGTTGCGCGCCAGAGAATTGAGCATGTAGAATAATAATTTAATGTCATAGCATTGCACAAAGATCTATGACACAGATAAAAGAAAAGTCAGGATAGAAACTACCAAAATTTTTTAAGTGAAAGAACTCAGGAAAAGAAAAAAATCACAGAGTCTAGCCTAATTAAAATAATCATTTATAAAATTAGGACTACATAGGTTTACTCTTCACCTGGATTAGAAAATATTGAATTATAAGATGATGTTCAAATCAAAATTTTTTTGAAATAATCTAACAAATATAACTGTATAAAGATAGTTGAAACTATAAATGTTGAAGTCTGACTAAAATTGTGTTAAAGGGATCAAGTCCATAGTTGGATGTTATTACAAATGTAGTTGGCTATAGAAACCGTAGTTGCATAAGGTTATAATAGCTGTAGTAGACCAATCAACGCCGTAGTTGATGATGGTCAACAGTGGCTATAGTTGGCAATAACCTCTAATGGTCGATGGTGACCTTTGGTGGTCGGCAGAGAACTCTAGTAGTTAGCCACAATCTCATGTGACTGGCGACATTCAACAGGACTTTAAGAGTTAACCTTTAATAGTCAGCTCACTTTTCTCATCTCCTTCTTTCAAGTGAAGAATGGAGGCATATTTATATTTTTTTTAGAGGGGTGTTTTTATAAATTTGGTCAATCTCCCAAAATACTCGATCAGACGATCCACATTAATTCTCTCGATCATATGCAATTTTTTCAACATTTAAATGCTTTAATCACATTGAAATTGAAAGATCTTGTGGTTGTTGAATTCCTCTTCTTGAGACGCTCGATTTGACTATAAACACTTCAAACTTTAAGATTGAATGCCTTTCCAATTGATGCACCAAAGCCTTTAAATACACTTTCAGTGTTTGATATAGGCTGCTTTGAACTTGGATTGGATGACTTTTAGTATCATTAGGTTTGTCTTGTCGAGACACTTAGTTTGACTATAAATTCGCCAAAAATGAGTCTAAGATGATTTTGAATTTGAAATCGAAATGAATTTTTGCTCACAATGTTTTGAGATATGTGTTTGATGAATTTTTGCTCACAATGTTTTGAGATTGGATCACTTTTAGTATCATTAGGTTTGTCTTATCGAGACACTGAGTTTGAATATAAATTCGCCGAAAATGAGTCTAAGATGATTTTGAATTTAAAATCAAAATGAATTTTTGCTCACAATGTTTTGAGATTCGTGTTTGGTGATAAAATTTATTAACGGCAATCAATTGCCCCTTATTTTTAAACATCGATACTTATGTCATTCGAAAATATAAGTTATTGGATAAGTCACTATCATAATTTTAAATATTCCAATAATTCATACGTTTATAGGAACAAGAATTTTTTATAAATTCAAATTATCTAAATTTACTCATTGAGGTTTCGTCTAGTTTTAAAATGTCAAAATTAAGTCTGAAATATCAAAAAACGATAAAAAACATAATTTTGAAAAAAAGACTTAATCATATTATTATTGTCACTGTTAGCGGAGGTTGTAGGCGTTTTGGGTGCGTGAGCATGCATGCTCAGGTGCACGTGTATGTATGTGCCTGCACATGAGCACAATAGCATGCCTAAAAAAGTATCAGGATTTAGTCCCTTAGAAGGCCATGACATAGCCTTCCTGACACGATTTCAATAGATTCTTTTTTGTCACACTTCCTGGGATAGTAAAAAAGCTGCTCAATATTGTGCATAGAGCTTTACAAGTTAGTTTTGCCTTGAGAATTGGAAATGATAGCCATTGTCTTTTTACTTTTACTAGAGATGATAAAGCTCGTTTTGTACATGCATAGCCTCACACTTGCATTCTTTTGTATCTTTTTATAGAATTTTAATGCAGCAGCCATATTTTCAAAAATTGGGGCGTCCACATGCAAGAAGGAGCGTGCGGGGGAGGGGGACACCGAAGTGCGTGGGAGCCTATGAACGTGATGGCAAGAGCACATGTTCAGAAAAGTGTGACTGTGGTCATGTGCTCATGTGGGTTCACAAGAATAGTTGCGAAATGGGTTGCACGCGCGCAGTTGTGGACGTGGGTGTGCACAATTGTAGGTGTGGGTGTGCACACTTGTAGGTTTGTTAGCGAAGTGAACATTGAAATTTTATTTTTTTTGTGAACGTTCAATTACCCTACATGCGGGGCATGTTCAATTACCTAATTTTGCCCATGCTCCTCTTCTACAGGTTGTAGTTACTTTGCCCATAAACATCGGTTGTATAATTTCTTTAGGTTATTGTTACCAATCAGTATTGAAATTGTTTGTTGACATTGTTTTTGGCTCATTTTGAAGCCAACGCTTCACAAAAACGCTTAAATGAGAAGCTCCATGAAAATCACAATAACTTTGCATCTAGACCTCTGATTTGTCATTATGAACCCATCTCGGAAAGGTAATCGAAAGACGAAGGACATGGCGAAGGCGCAATGCCATTTGTCAGCATCGCAGTGCCCGACAGGTCTATTTTTTTTGGTCTCGAGGGTTGCATATAACTAGATGGGTATCAGTGCCAAGTTAGTGGCGTCGAGGTGCCATTTATGGCGGCGCCGTGCTAACACATGTCAAGTCTCGAGCCGTGAACTTATCTTGTCGGCCAACATGACATTTGCCACATTAGCAGCACCGCAACGCCGTGCATGGCGTGGCACCGCCAAACCCTAATTTTGCCCATTAAAAGGGGCAACATTGGGCTGCCCGTAAGGTTGGGATTTTTGAAGCCAACCGCCCCTTGAGCTCCCAAGGGTGCAAACCAAGAGCTTTCCCCCCATTTTGAGTAATGAGTCTTCTCCTAAGAGTTTTGGTGTGCGAGCTTCCCTCCAAACCTCATTCTCAAGCCCTTCTTGTTTCGACGGAATTTTAATCGCCGGAGGTGGTGCTTTTCACGGTTGAAGGAGTTTGTGGCCCCAAGAGTTGAAGATTTGGTGGTTTAAACACTTCCAGCCATCCGAGAGAGCTCCAAAGTCTTCACCATCCCTCCCTATTCCTCATTTCTCTCTTGAGTGTTTGTAGTGTGCACGAGCTCTTCCCTCCATACTCCTCTGCTTCGGGCGCCCACATCGGAGCGACAACAATCATGTGGCTGAAGAAGCTAATGAAGTGATCTTATGAACACTTCACATCACAATGACTACACCAAGTGTAGATTAGGCGAGATTTCTCTGAACCCTTCCTAATTTCATTCTCTTAGAGCCCTTAAGCATTGTGTTAGAGGATTAAAGCTAAGTTGTTATTAGAGAAAACGTCTAGGATGGGTTATTAGAGCTAAGTTGTTATTAAAGCTAAGTTGTTATTAGGCGAGGTTTCTTACCCTATTTCTCTCATCCTCTGAGCGAACCGAGTGGTTAAACTTCTTATCGAGCTTACAATTGTTTCATGCTGATAGGTATTGCAAGTTTCATTTGACACTATTGAGTGCTAGAAGCTTGCCTGATGGCAAAAGAATATGTTTAGATCCATGACAATGACTACTTTTAAGACCTTTTGACACACTAAATTCAATCTCTTTCCTTTTATCTATCATCATTAATCAAGGTTTGCTTATGTAACAAATGAATCTCAATATTTTTTTTTTCTACGGGGATTTTATAAAAACGATATATATTACTTTATATATGGATTGAAACATAGTCCCCATGCCTAGTTTGACAAATTTTGCAAAGTTCTTCCTAACTAAGCTATGAAGTACCACAATTAATAGCTTTATCTTTATTCGAGCTTCTAGTATTAGAACAAAGATTTTCACTTTAGATATTGATAACATTCTTCTTGGCATTATTAGAAGGTTTAAGTGAATTAATAAACATTATTTACTACTAAAGATTTGGGAGTCCAAAATATTTTCTTGGCATTAAATTTGCATATAGTAAGAAAAATATATTTCTCTTAAAAGGGAATATGACATAAACCTTCTTGAAGAAGTTGGTCATCCTGGGTGTAAGCATATTGATTCAACTATACATTCGAGGATAATGAAAGTTACAAAAATCCTTCTTCGTATCAACCTAATGGTGGCAAGCTCATAGATATGACCATCACTTAACCTAATATATCATTTGTTGTTGGTATGAGCAGTCAACATATGCGAGACCCAAAGAATATACACTCAGATGTTGTCTTTTAAAATTTGAGATGTATCTAATTATGTAAGAAAATGACCAATCTATTCGAAATATAAAGGAGACTTGTCCGATGTTGGATCTAATGACGATCAAATATTTACGTTAGGATAGAAAGTCTTTGTAGATAAAAAAAATTTCACATCCTTAAAAAGTAATCAGCAAACATCTATAGCTAGACTGAGTGCTGAAGCTGAATATTATGTCATAACTTATTATGGTTGTGAAAATATATAAGTGATACTATTGTAGAAGAATTTAGATTTCCTATCATAGTCCATTTTCCTTAAGTACAAATAGTTATCCACATTACAAGCAATCATATATTCCATGAAAAAATCATCTTACGATGATATGTCACTTCATCAAAGATTTGACCTTATCAAAGAATATCATTACTTGTATATCAAGTGGGACACTTTTTACTAAAGCTCTATGACTTCTTCATTTTTTCAATATTTACAATAAGTTTAATTTTTTTGATGAATATACTCTAGCATAAGAGGCGAGTGCTAATATGGAAAAATAACAAGATAGTAATATGTCATAAAAAATACCAAAAAAAAAAAAGATAGTAAGAAAAGCATAGAATGAAGGGCTAGGATTTTATCATATTTTATAACCTCTTAATTGACAACATTCACCTCATTATTTTCTTTCAATTGTAGTCAACCTATATGCCTATGTATTGGCGCATGCTTTAATCAATAATGCACGTGATTTTCTCTCTTCTAACAAAAGTGTTTGCCAATAATATAGATATATTAATGCATGTTAACTGATTGTTACCTAAAAGAAAGTTTTGTAAGATTTAGGATGCTTCAGTTTTCATAATCCCTATTTGACAATAACCTCTCCAGAGACCATGTTGTTGCAACAACGTGAAAAAATTATTACTCTGCAAATCTTATCTTCAAGTACAAATGGAAGATGCAGTTCAACCATATGATTTCAATTGGTGAAAGGCATATCATCAACCGCAAGAAATAAATTTTTTAGCTAAAAAAAATTATTTTTGCGCTAAAAACAAATTCTTGCATCAAAGACATATTGAAGCTATTAAAGAAATATATGATAGAACATTATCAACTATCAAGTTTGTGGAGTGACAATGGGTATATTAGAGTAGCCTCCAATGAAGATATGATAGTGAATAAGATGATCAAATAAAAAAAGGGAGAAAGATACATCAATAAAATGTACATGCCAATCTATGTCCACAGTATGTACTTGCCACGATGTGCATTCAACAAGCAGAAATTTTTGGTTGTTATTAATTAACATTGTTATTAAACTTCTTCGAACATACTCATATAGAGCATGAGCTTTTTAATTCTATTCTGCTTTTATTATTTTTATTGTGTATAATACGCTATATCCATAAGCTTACTACTAAGTTGGGTTGGCAAACAAAACCAGCCTATGACTAGGTATGTGATATTGATGACATTAATGTGTTATTTTCAATTTGACATGTTTCTTGTAGATAGAAAATGGATATAATTTGGATAAATAAACTATGTGAATAGTGATATGGCCGGACCTACGTGCTATTCAGAGGGGGCAATTGCACGTCCTGAAATTTGAATATTTATTAGGAGAGATACAATTTAATGGTCATTTGCCCCCTCTGAACTATATTAGTTGCCCCAATTGACCTGTGAATAAATTCTACAGCTCATTTAACCTTTTAATTTATTAAATATTGAATTTAAAAGAATGCTCTTAGATGGTAATTAAGTAAACATAAATGCTAAACTTACTGATCTAAAATTTTAATTTCTGTTTAAAAAGATTTATTATTTCTTTAAACTATCTTAAAAATAGCCAAGAAGAAGCAAAGCTACGTGTTTTGCTGATGCCTAAGGTCAGATATTTCTTAATTTCCTGTTGCAAAATTTACATACATACCAGTCAATTCCTATGTATTTACATGTCTAACACCTAAACTTCAAAGTTTACATACATATCACCTTACTTATGAATAAAAAAAATGTATTTCACTTTTTGAAAATTAAAATAGTGATATAAAAAATATTAGAATAATGACACTTCTAATATGATATGAAAATTTTGGGTGGTATAAATGTATAAGCGAAGTTTATATGTTAGATGTGTATATACATAAGAATTGGGTGGTAGGTATGTAAATACCCCTATATTTAACAACAACAACAACAACAACAAAGCCTTCATCCCACTGCGTGGGGTCGGCTACATGAATCCTTTTTCTCCATTGCGTCCTATTTAGTGTCATGTTTTCATTTAGTTCGAACAAATGAAGATCATTTTTTATACAATAAGCCCAAGTCTTTCTAGGTCTACTTCTGCCTTTCTTCTGCCTTTCTTAGCCTTTCTTAACATAAGTCGAATCTAAAACATCTACTCTCCTAATTGGATCATCAGATTATCAACGTTTAATGTAACCAAATCATCTAAGAAGCTCTCTCTAATTATGTCCGTCACTGGAGTTACACCAACCCTATCACGGTAAAAATGTAAATGCCCCTATATTTAAAAAAGAAAATTAAATTCATTTTTGTATACTCTTAATATATATCTGTATTAAAAACTTTTTAACTTTTCTTTTATTTGAGCTAAGTCAAAATAGAAAAATAAAAATATGAGATAAAATTATAATTAGTCTCAATGTGTAAATTTATTTATTATTTATGTTGCATACATTTATTTATTAGGGTTTTTAATATTTTTTTTATATTTAGCCTAAGTTTCACATTAAACTTAGACTTTCATGAAATTATATTTAATATGAATTTTTACATTAAAACATGGAATTATGATTTTTTATTTATAAAAAAAATAAAAAAAAGTTTAAATGCTTTTAATATTATTTAAATTATCAATGATAATAAAATTCACATTTTAATTTTGAATTATCTGCTATTTTTTAATTAATTTATTTTTATAAAAAATTTGCCCCTCCTGAAAAAGGAGGCTAGTTCCGCCCTTGAATAGTGAGGTATTGGTTTCTAGAATCTTATTCTAATGATGTACATGAAGTGGCCTTGGTCTAGTGGTTAATACCTCCACTTCTATCTTTGAGGTCAAATTTTTAAGCCCTTAATCCTCTACTTAACTGTAATTTCTTGATAAATAATAAAGAAGTATTGTCAATATTTTCTTATACCAAATGGCTTATCTCCTTATATGCCCTTGTATAAGACCCTGTGCCGTCTTTTATTATATAACATATGGGAATAATTTACTATTTTCAAAAAAATGTTGATAAATTCTTAAAAAATATTCAACCCATTTTGCTAAACCGCTGCCAAACTTTTAGCCAGCATGAGACATACTTCTTGAGGACCATATGATGTAAAGTATAAAAAATCAGAAGATAATATCAAAAGGAAGGTCAATATTTCACTCATTGGAAAATCACAGATAATGTGTCAAATCAAAGAATTACTTGTTCACTTCTGGGATGGATGACTGCAATTTGACCAAATATGCCATAAGCTCCTTAGCTCCAGCTGCATCCACATTCTAAATGGAAACACTCATATTGGCAGGTGGGAAAATTGGAAAACGAATAGCATCTATGTTGTTTATTTTCTAACTCCATTCAGAGAAACTAAGAACAAAATGATTCCACTTTCTCACCTCATAATCATATCGAGTATAAAAGTGGCGACCATAAGTAGCCCAGTGTTGGCGAACTATGTCTTCTACTGTCACTAGCTTTCCCCCAATGAGGTTGTCTTTGTTCTTGTAGGCAAGAATAGAAAGCCATGCTAAGACTGCCCAGATCCCATCCTTCTCACGAATATGATCTGAACCTGAAACAGAAAAAAATACAAATTTTAGGTATAGAATTCACATGCCCAACATATGTAAGACATTCAAATTCACTACTATTAATCTAGCTCAAATGGCAATCATTAAAAAGCCTTCAAAAGGAGAAAAAATACCAGAAGGAAAAGATCTATCACCATATAATTAACACTGCACATATTGTGGGCCTATGTTAGAAACGTTCCTATAAAGATGGATGAATCATAAAAAGAGTTGGCTCATTTGGATTAAAAAAATATATAAATAAATCCCAAAATAGTGCTCCAACTGTTCTAATGTGGCTAATTTAGTCCCAAAATTTTGAAGTGCTCCAGTTTAGTCCCATGACTAAAGAAAATTGATCAAAGGTGGTCCCTCATGAAGAAATCATGACATAAAAGTGATCCCAATTTAGTCCTAGTATACAGAAATGATCCCCATTTAGTCCCTAAGGGATCAATTAAGATCGATTTTGGGGGATTAAATTTGAGCACTTCAAAAAGTTTGGGACTAAATTTACAGCATCTGTATGGTCGTGGAAGAGCGTTGAAGAGCGGGAGCGGGTGCGGGGGACACCATTTTAAAATTTAACCCAAAAAACTACTATGTTTATCATATTGAATCAGTCCAAAGAAATAATTAACAAAAAATTCCTTACAAGCCCATTCAAACCACTTTTTCAACAGGAACTAAGGGAATGAGTATAGAGGAAATGCCTACCTGTCCCAAAGCTTTCTTCACCACAGATCGAACAAAGTCCAGCATCCATCAAGTTGCCAAAGAATTTCCATCCAGTTGGCACCTAATAAAATAATCCGTCAAAATATGATAATAGACATTGCGATATGGTTTGTCATTATAAATAATTTCGATGTACCTCAAAAAAATTCAAATTTAGATTATTTGCTACAACATCAAGCGCTGCAGAGGTTGGCATGCTCCTACAGAAAGTTCCCTCAAGTAAGTGAAAGTAGCATATGAGGAAATAATACAATGAAAATATCAGCTATAAAAAGAATCAACTTACATTAAACAACATTGATTTTCTTGAAACATGATGATTTGTCCACTAAGGGTTTGTTTGGGACCAATTTTATTTTTTGTTTTTGCTTTTACTTTTTCCATTGTTTTTTAAACTATATTTGTTTGGCGTGTTTTTACATGTTTTTATTTGTTATTTCTAAAAATAAAATAACATAATTTTGAATACACTTAAAACAACTTTTAGGTGTTCTAGTGTTTTAAAATTAACCATATTTAATCAAACTGCCAAACATGTTTCACTTCAAATCAAAATGTAAACAAAATAAAATAAAATTAGAAAATTTAAAAATTTAAAACATAAATGATCCCAAACGTCCCCTAAAATACTTGATGTAAAGATAAAAAATATATATATAGATTAATGAGAAAGAAGACCAAATGAGCACTTGTATAGAACAGACACCATAATTCAATCATGAATAGAGTGTAACACGTTAATGGTAAAAATCTGTTTGGTGTACATTACATTCCAGGTTCAATGGTTCTAATTCTTTAAATGGAACGGACATTTTAAGTATAATTATTATTAGATTTTATCCAACTGATATATAAACACATCATCAAAAGGCTTATTTAACTATTTAAATTAGTATCATTCATTCTTCTTTTCAACACATTCATGTTTAGAAAAAAATTTACAGTTCTTGTGCATTTTTTAATATAGCAGAGTTACTTTAAACTTCCAAGTTATGTTTTCGATTCCCACTTCTCATCTCAACACCAACAACTTCCACACTAACATGTCACACGCCCTAAGAGATTCACCAACCCTACTGTTTTTATTTCAATGCATAATATTTTCCTTATAAATGACATTATCAAATTCATTTAATAAAATAAATTTAATTTGTTCTTTTACAAAGAATAAAGTTTATGAAGAACCAAAATCGACAACAGCAAAAGGCTAAATCAAAGCAACGATGCATTACTCAGGTAAAGGTAAACACAGCCCCTCATTTCTATTTCACTGTCTTGAGATAAGCTAAAATTAATAACTTGGTTAGGTAAGTGGCTAGTTTGAACATATCTATCATCTGAGAAAAAAACTAAAAAAGAGAAATTTATATGCATACCACACAATTCTTACGTATTTACATATCTAACCAAACGTTTGATATTTACATTTATAACACCTTGACATCATAATCTTATGCATGAAAAGATGTATTTTAGTGATGGTAGTACATTTGACGTAGTATGCATCTAAATGTGAATGTTTAGGTGTTGGATATGTAAATATATAAGAAATGTGTTGCATGCATGTAAATGCGCGCTCTCCCCAAACACCCTCCCCCCCCCTAACAAATACACGCAAAAGAACAACATTTATAAGAAACTCAACTGAACCAGTGACTGCAAGCATCTTGCTTATTCATAGAGGAGCACAAAAATTGTAGTACATGCCAACTAATATCTACTATTTAATAATAATTATACTTGTCTGCCACTGGACATCTTGCATTCTACCTCCTTAGTCTCCTTCCACAAGGAAACGACCTGTGCTTTTGAGATCGCCTCAGTAAAACTAAACAGTGGCACCAGTTGACAACCCAAGGTTAAACCCTTAAAAACTTCACGATCCATATAACAGAAAAACATTTTGCAACTTGTGTTAACGTATTTAAAAAATTGCAGATAACTCTTTCATACATGCGCACTCTAATCTAGCATATTTCAGAATTTGCCAATTGTACATAAGGGTCTTACAATCCTTAGCCTTAGGCAAATTCACATCATCGCTATCCTCTTTGGCATTCAAACAACTTGGGGTCGGCATTATAAATCCTCATTTGCCACATTTCTCTTGAATGCTAATAGAGGTTTTAAATCTATGTTGCACAAATGTTTTAGTGCAAGCTCCTTCCATTTAAAACCTCTCTGAATCCTTCAGGGAAAACTTAACATCTCATCACATCAATTTCAGCATCTACAGTCCTCATAGGTCATATTTAAGCAAGTTGCACAGCCCATATGTCAATCCTCACATTGTTACATCCATTCACCAAAAAGCAAAAATGGCCATTTACATACATACCACCCAATTCCTATATATTTACATATATAACACCTAAACATTACATTTTACATTTAAACCATCCAAATTTTCATATCACATTAAAAACAATACCACTATTTTAACTTTTAAAAAGTGAAATACACCTTTTCATGCATAGATAAGGAGTCAAATATGTAAAAATTGAAGTTTAGGCGTTAGCTATGTAAATACATCAGAATTGAGTGGTTTGTATGTAAATCTTCCAAAACAAAAAACATAGTGATTTAATCAGTTAAGGATCAAAATACAAGTAGCACTTTTAAAATGAAAGAAGACTTTCAAAACAAACAAAATATCTAACTAGAAAAAAATATGTATATATCATAAATTACCTGGCAACACCCTTCAGCCCAGAAGAAAAATAAGGAATAGACTGAACAGCGTTAGCAGCAATGATGGCAACAGAATCAGATGGAGTCACAAAAAACCTAAAATCAAAGAAATGAAATTATCCATTTACATTATTATTCATTGGCGTCTCTTCATTGGATCATTCCATACCTTTTACCAAGAATCATGTTACGATCAGCATCACCATCAGCAGCTGCACCAAACTCAGGGGGCTCATCTTGCGGTTCTGATTTGCTCAATCCCATTCGTGCAACTAATTCCTTGGCATAAGTCAGGTTAGGGTCTGGATGGCCCCCACCAAAGTCTTCCTGTTACCATGCACAACATTTGTGAACAGCTAAATTCTAGGGGCAATTACATAGATGCCACATAGTTCTTATGCATTACACAGAACACCTAAACTTTTATATTAACATGCATTGCATTCAAATATTTAATATCACATCTAAAATACCACTGTTACCTACTTTTTAAAAGTGAAATATTTCATGCATAGGCTTATCACACCAAAATGTTATGCATGCAAATATGGAAGTTTAGGTGTTAGGCATGTAAATACATAAGAATTGTGTGGCATGTATGTAAATTTCCCTAAATTTTGACAACAAGCGCTATAGAGTTTTGAGATACCTTAGGAGTGCAATTTAACAGAGAGCTTTCTTTTGCACCAAGTTCTTCAAGAAAAATGCGTTTGGCATAAGCTCCAGCAACACCATGAAGTGCATCATAGCTGTTTATAGAGTAAATATGAAGTTCATTAATTTTATAGAAAGATACAAAAAATAACAGAATCCCCGAATAGCATCGTACAACAATTTTTCATACCAGAAACTGAAATTTGGAGAAGCGAGAAGCTTTTGGATTGATGAAAAATCAAAAATTGATCTGAAAATGAAATTTTAAAGTAAATTTAGAAAATCTTTAAACATTAAAAGATAATATTTCAATACAAGGCTTGTAATGATGTAGTAATGATAGGAACACAGCATCAGCACTAAAGACAAAAAATGTCACGGTACCCTGATCAAAATTTGGTTATGTTGGACTTTTTTCTTAGAGATGAGTGCAATACATGACTAATTAATCAAGTCTAGTATTGCACCCATTTCGACTTAAATCCAATAAATAGAAAGCCTATCCTAGGTCAGGATATCCTCACCCAAACTTTCTTCATATCTAAATCTATATAAATGAAACAAATGGGTACAAAGATAGCCATCAAGAATATTTGCTAGCATATTTATTTAACCTACCTATGAAATGAACGACGGATGCAGGATGATAAACAAACAAACAGACAAACTCCTTGAGAACGATATTAACATATTCTACAGGCAAGCCATTTAAATTCAAATATTCAACTAGTTACTTATAAACAACCTCTCTCTCTCTCCCTCCATCCGTACACACACACGCACATTGTATTTCTATGATCTACCTTAAAAGATGTTCTAGTATATGACAAACCTAAAATTTCTTACTCTCTTTAGGACAATGAAAACTAATATTTAAAGCTACTAAAGCATGGAAGATCTAATAATACTAGTCCTTGTTACTACAAAAAAATTTGCTTACTTCATAAGTTGTACATAATCACTGGCTGAGTCAAACACCTCCACATCAAATAGTCCTTCAGGTCCGCTAAAGTTGGTCACACCAATGGTAGAAACATCCACCTGCAACGAATTAAACAGCCATGAACATCCTTGTTATGAGAATGTGATTGTGAAGCAAAATAATTAAAATTCTGAAAAACTGAACATTGATAAACATTATACATCTGGAATGTCTTCTGCAATGAGGTATTCCTTTATCGTCTTTGTGTTGGCATAAATTTTATCAGTAATAGCCTCTGGCGCAGGTCCACCATTTTCCATGTTGTACTTGATCCCAAAATCCTGAGAAAAGGATGCAGTTGACGTTAATGCACATAATGAAATTGAATCTACAGCAACAGCACGATGAGCAATAAAATTAAGAAGTAAACAGAACATAGTCTCCCAAAGGGCAATGTTAAATTTATGCCCTTTTGGAAGTATGGTGTTGCAAAACTTCCAACTAAATTGCAACGCCAGTATTGAATATTCTCAAAATATAAACTGCAAAAATTTCATATCTCGATAAAATTTCTCAAGCAAGAATTTTAAAAATTACTTAAGGATGAATAATAGAAAATATTTTTTAAAAGAATTTGTCCCTTAATTTGATCCGGGAGTCAATAAATCAAAGATATCTTCGCATAAGTTTAAAAATCCTTCAATCATATGACCAAACATCGAGCAAGAAAAAATAATCTAAATCCAAACCACAAATCAAGTTTAATATTAAAGCTCAGCAAATAAAGACATAAAGAAGAGAAACTTGCCTCATTTGGTCCACCTGGATTGTGACTAGCAGTCAAAATAAAAGCCCCAGTAGCTTTAGATCCCTGAAAGATTGAGGAGATAACAAAATATAGCTTAAAACTAAAAATATAGAAGAAAAATATTGAAGCACCTATCAACCAATCATTGAGCCTAAAAATATTATAACGATGAACAACACTGTTCTTACATCTGCACCAACTCGTTCCCGGATAACACAAGATACAGCAGGTGTGGAGAGTAGACCGTTTTGACCAATCCATACTCGTCTTACTCCATTTGCAGCTGCCATTTTTATTATGATCTGCCAATTTAGAAAACAAATATGTAATACACCAACGACAGTTTAGAAAGAAGATATCAAAAGTAAGGAATATATATTGCGACAAATAGAATCAAATAGCAAAACAGGCTTTAATAGCACCAACATCATTAACACAAGTAGCTTTATCGCAACTACTTAGAGTGAGAAAACTGGTTTTACAAAGTTGTTTTCTAGAAGTTGGCTGGAGGGGTAAAAACACATAGTTCGTGCATAAATTGAATGATGATCGATCCAAAAGAACAAACAAAGTTATGGGAGAAAAATGTTCAACAACTTGGATATATTTATAAGACCTAAGGAAACCGATACATTACTGATGAAATTTTAATCAGCTTTATTATTAGTATCTTCCTTTTCAGTATTTCCTACTTTTCATATTTTTAGCACGAGAGATTTTGCAGCTTTCCTAATGTGGTAGCATTCTCCCGCTATTTATCTTGAAAATATTTCCTATGAAATTAAAGAGGAATAATTATTTTTTTCTCTCCTAAAATTACATGGTATCAGAGCTTGAATTGAATTGAAATTGCGGAAGGAATACTCCCGGTGCGGATCGACCCTCTCACTTACTCGCGAAGATCTATCGATCAAGAGAACTACATGCGCAACATAGGGCCGCTAGGTTATATTTTCCTCCATGGGCCTGTTGTTCCGCTCAATAATAATCAGACGTCTTCTCCTCTCCGTATGTCGTTTCACCCTAGAATGATCGGATAGTCAGAATAGGTTGAGAAATCTACCACCGCTACTAAGGATTCTTCACCTTGAGCCTTATTCCTCACAGACAACTATGGCGGATCCACAGGATTCTCCGACATTATCTTCGACGCCAACCTTAACCTTGATTGCAACGTACAGAGACTTCTAAAACAAATATATAGATACTTACATGAAGAAGAAAAGAAATAGATAAAGAAGGAAACTCCCACACAAAAGAAAGGGATGGGGAATTCTAAAATATTTAAAAATTAGCCATAAAAATATTCCAAATGAGGAAGCAGCAGAAAAGGAAGGAGGAGCCAGATGTTGCTCAATCTGGGAGATACGAAAGGAAAGCCGCTCGGCTCTGTTGGACTCTTGGACTGGCTCCCCTGGACCGATCTCTACGCCAGTTGGTCAGCCGACTAGCTTGTCTCCCGCCCCCACGTCAGTGTCCCGAGGTTGGGAGAGCTTTGAACGCACTCGTCGAAGCTTCTAGTCCCTTCTCTCTAATCCTGGTTGCACCTGGATCCCACTGTCGGCCGCACTGTTGCCCGAATCATCGAAGAAGTTGACACCGCTTAAGCGCCTTTGTCCTTGTCGATCCACTCTCCTGAGACTGTGGTCCAAACCTGTACTGTTGGATCCTCCCATAGTAACCCACAATCGGGTCGGTCTAGTGTGTTGTGAGAGCAACGTGAATATTCCCGTCCAGTGGTGGAGTTAGTGCTACGGTGACATCCTCTTTGTCGTAACTGTCCCGTGTTTGAAGTCAATGCTTCAGTTTTCTCATCCTATGTCGTCACTAAGACTGGCCCCACTGACGCTGCTCTGCAGGTAAAAGTGTGTGATTTCGGGCTCTGCTGAAGGAAGTAGAACGATGTGTTTCCCCTCCTTGGTAAATGAGTATGTGTTTCTGAATTCATCGTGCTGAGTCCTTCGGTCAAACTGTCAGGGTTGTCCCAACAGAAGATGGCAGGCATCTATAGAGACCACGTCACACCACAACTGGTCCTGCAACTGGCCCCGATAGAAAATTCTACCAAACATCTTCGGCCGATGCTAATCTGATTTTCCTTCTTCAGCCATGTCAATGAATACGACTGGGCATATCTCTGAGTCATGAGTCCCAACTTCTCTACCATCCGAGTCGATGCCAAGTTCTTGTTGCTCTCACCGTCAATGATAAGGTTGCATATCTTTTCGTTCACTAAGAAGCGGGTGTAGAAAATGTTGTGGTGAAGCCACTGTGGAACCTCGTGTCAATATCGGTCTGTAGAATCTGTCGAATCACGAGTGCTTCTCCCTCATATGGTGGAAGTTGATACACCTCACCCTGCCCTTCAATTTCTCCTTGTCAATAATATCTTCCATGACGCCCTGATCCATGAGGGTGACTATCCTACTAGTGGGACAGCTGGAGGTTATGTAGCAATAGTTGTGGCATTGGTAACATTTACTGAACGCTACGGTGTTGGAGGAGCTACTTTTCTCCTGCTTCTTCCTGTTATGATCTGAGTGTCACTCCTTTGTCTAGGCCTGCCTGTGTCTCTCGGAGTACCTTTGTCAATCGTGGTAGTTGTAGGTGACTGCCTGCCTGCAGGTTGTTGCCTGAAGGATGACTTGATCCTCAATTTATTAAATGTGTTGTTATTCTCGCAAAAAACCGTAACAAAGCCACCATCTCCTCATAAGAAAAGTATGTGCCCGTTGATGTCATTTTTAATGAAATAATCATTATTTCTTATTGCTTATCCCAAGAAAAAAAATATTTATCACAAATGAGTTTTTCTTCCAAAATTACCATTCCTCCTCTCATCCCATCAAACAACTATATTCCAAAATCAATCATTCCTATCAAAATCTAGGCTACACAAGAATAACTTCCTATTTAGATATTACACGCTCACTCGAGAAGAAAGGCATCTGATGCCAATCAAGCAAATCAACTCTTCACCAAATCCGCTAAGGGAATAATTAAACCTACAAATAAAGGTGCAAGGACTATTACTAAACACCCTTTACAAATGTTTTTCTTATATGAAAAATATTTCTCATTATCAACAATCCTTCCTTACATGCTATTTCCGCCCTTAAAATAGTTTTTGAGACTTTAAGTAATATGATTTAGAATTATGCAATCATGGAAAAAGTTAAAGCCTCTAAAAAAATGATAAATAAAAGGAAAATTTATATGCATGCCACTTAATTCTTATGTATTTACATATCCAACGCCTAAGTTTTAATTTTTACATATATGCCACCTCACCTATGCATGAAAAGGTGTATTTCACTTTTTTAAAAGTAAACAATGGTATTTTTTATGTGATATGAAATAATTGGGTGGTGCAAATATAAAAATTAAAATTTAGGTGTTAGATATGTAAATACATAAGAATTGTGTGGAATGTATGTAAATGCCCCTAAATAAAATTGCAAATTTATCAAAAGAAATGAAACCACTGAATATAAATGGGTCTTTACAACAAGATACAAATTCGATGGTTCACTAAAAAATAACAAACCAAACTAGTGACGCCAATAGCCACAGCTAACCATACATGATTGATTGTCTAGGAAATGTTTGCTTCAATTGCTAAAACAAATACCGTTAGATTTCTCTAACCTTCAGCGATTGAAAAGAGTTGGAAGACACAATAATGCGATATGAAGAATGTTTTTTTTTTTTTATATATGATGACTAGAAGGAGAAAGTATATTAAGGGGTCAGAGGTCCAACCAAGATTTGGCTAAAATACAGAACGGAGCTAAAAAAACAGTGTATGGGTTGCAATAAACTACAAAGGCGTGATTCGAATAATTCGTCTAAACAATGTTCAACAAATAAAATTAAATATACCATATTATTAGTGAAATACAGCTTTTGAGGGAGTCTATACACTACCAGATTATGTTGATGACATTATCATAAACAATAGTGACTTGAAGAAATGGAGGATTTAAAGAAAAAGATTACCATGCAAGCTAGGAATGAATGATATTCATTTATTTGCTTAAGAGAGAGTGTGAAACATCAGCATAGTTTCATTTAAGTTGGACCCACATCCACCAATGCTTTCCGCCGAGGGAGTGCCCCTATTCCCGATGCGGGAGTCACACGAACAAAGTAGTGACCCACCTGCTTCGCTTGGACCAAATAGGTCGAAGTTTCTCCTTCCGAGGAGTTGGTAGGTCCTCTTGTGGCACTCATAATTATCCTCTTATTATATATTAGTTTTTTGCTTGAGTTTGTGACACCGAAACTCAACCAACGACAATGAAAAATAAATATTATTAAGCAAATAACGAGGGATATTATTAAGACTCGAAACAACAAAGACAACAAGACAATAAAGACAAGACTACCGCAATCCACTTATGACCTAGGAAGAGTATTAGAGGACACTGACGGAGAGATTGGTACGGTCGGTGACTGGAAGTGGAGGGAGCAGTAGGTGCGGGCCGCTGCTGGAATGTGGGAGCAGCAGGGCTGTGGCGTTGGCGGTCAGCAAGTGCGGGTGGCTGTTCGAAAGGGTCAGGAGGGGAACTGCAGGTGGTGAGCTAAAAGAGGGTGCGGAAGTGATTGACGACCTGCCAGGAGGTGTAGAGAGGAGCCAGCGACCTGCGGGAAGAAGCAGAAGAGGTCAGCAACTTGTTAGTGAGTGTCGGGAGGAGTCGGCGGCCTGTTGGAGAGTGTAGGGATAAGTCGGCAACCCGCTGGAACGTGCAAGAAGGAGCCAACGACCACTAGGAAGTGCAGAAGTAGGGTCGCGACAGGCGATAAAATGTTGGGAGTGGTAGGAAAGGTTGACAGACTGCAAGGAAATGCAGAGAGGGACCGGAGGCCAGCTGTGAGTGTCGGAAGAGAGGCAGTGACCTGCTGGATATGTGGGAAGGAGCCGACAGTCAGCTGGAAGCAAGGTAAGAGAGCCTGCAACCTGCTAGAAGTGCAGGAAGGATATGTGGCAATCTGTGAGGGGTTGGAGGTAAGTAGGGAAGCGAAGGAACAGCTAACTCGAACAAATTACAGTCGATGTATCTTCTCTATGTCGGATATAACACTCGAAAGGGTAAAACACCAGCAGTGGACTCTGAACTCAGAAAACAAATCAACAACCCCTAACCCAAGCAAACACCACATATATATAAAAAAGATTAATAAGTAGAATAAGTGAAGATCAAAATAAGAAAGAAAATAGAAAAGAAATGACATATAAAAGGAACGAAATAGAAAAAGGAGAGTAATAGAAAAGGAAAGGGGAATATAAGGGAAATAAAAA